TTTATTTTGTTGTTCTCTATTTTTTTTTTTTTTTTTGGCGGAACCAGGGATTGAACTCAGGCCCTTGCACTTGCCAGGGAAGCGCTTATTCCACTGAGCCATCTCCCTGGCCCCCAATTGTTCACTATTTTCTGCTGCCATGAACTGCTGCTGTCTGCCATGTGCCACTCTGCCTGGGAGCCAACCAAGTGTAGACTAAAACCTCCACAAACCGTGAGCTAAATAAACCTTTCCTTCTTTAAATTTGAGTAACAGATATTTTGTCCCAGCAACAAATAAAATGTAACCGAGACAGAGGGCATCCAGCACCCAGGACGTGATGGGACCCTGAGTTGTCCTTTAATTATTTTTCTTTTATTGGCATAGCTTGCCTTTCCTCAAACAAGATTTGCTAATAACTACGTAAAATTAAGTACAAATATATCATTAGGAACTTGAGCTACTAGTATGGTTAGGAATTCTTGGGCCAAATCTACGAATTATCTGTAATTCACATTTTACTTGTTATTTTGAGTCTCTACTGAGCACAAATGAATGAAGATCTGTTATTCACAATGAGTGAGGTCTGCTCAGTCAGTGACATTTTGTGGCTTGTGCTGCTGTAACTTGCTGAGAGTTACCACAAGTGGATGGGAGTTGAGGCCACACGCCAGGCACAGATGGCTTCCATCGAAGCGGACATTTACAATCACACATTTAATTACATCATTAAAACCAGATTTTCCCCCAGAAGTGTCAGGAGTTGTATTTCAAGCACAAGGGTTGATCAGCAGGACTTACAAAGCTGCAATGCAGCAGGTGGCTGACACTAGCCCAGGCCTGTGGGAGCAATTTCTGCTCTGTGAACTGTGGTTCATGACCGCACTGTGTGACCCAGTTCTCAGGGATGGTTGTGAACACAATCTTGACTCCGTAACAGCTTGCAAAGCAAGCCTCAGGGCCCCCTCCGTGGTCCTGCAATAGTCAGTGACCCATGTGAGAGACAGGTCCGCTCCACTCTGTTAAGACCAAGTTGTTCTGCGAGTGTTTGGAGAGAACGCAGAGCTGGGCTGATTGGGAGAGATAAGCACCTACAAGACTGGACCACCTCGTTCTGAGGTGGAGCAATTTCAAAGGACAGCACTTTGGGAGCTTGGAACACTCTGTACCACTTCACAGTCTTTGGGTCCAGCTAAACACAGAACCCAGGCTTTCTTACCCTCCCCCGCACAATCACACATGCACAACCACACATGCTGAGAACCCAAACTATACTAAGCAAAGGCCATGACACAGAGCCCTGGGGACAATGCAGTCCAACATGCAGGTAGTGGTGGCTGAGGATGCTTGGACCTGTCTCTTCCTTTGAGGCTGAGAGAAAAAAAAAAGGCTCTGACCACCCCTGTTTAATTAATGTTTGCCCCATTTAATTAATAACCAGCAGCTCATCTGTGTGTCTTACAGCACAGCACACCAGATAAGACCCAAAGCCACTGCTGCACCGGCTTTTGCTTTCTCCAGATAGCTAGCTATCGAGACTTAAACTGTCAACACGCTGGCATCGCTGGCCCTGTTACAGATGGATTCGATCCTGCCAGCCTAGCTTGATGACTGAGAACTGGACAGATGAATGATCCATTGCAAGTAGCTCAACATCACTGCTCTCAATTGTGGTAAATACAGGTGGGGTCAGGCTGGTCAACTATGCACTTGCCCACATCCCCACAGGCTTCAGAAATGCCACTGATCACAAAGAAGTTGGAAAAATAAATTCACTCCAGTCTGGGAATAAAAGAAATAAGGCCCCAAACAAGCCAGAAGCAGCGAAGGCTTCCTAAAGTGGAGCCGAGCCTGAATGCACAGCCTTCATTTCAAGGGCAGTACAGCGTTTGGAATCCAGGCTGGCAGCAGAGTCCACAGCCACTGCCTCCCAGTTGCAAAACGAGGCCCCATCCTGGCCTGGCTCCACTGCAGGCGACCCTGTCAGCCTCACAGAGGCAAACTGCAGAGGCCAGGTCAGTGCCCCTGGGGTGGGCGGAGCTGAGTAGATTAGCACTAAGTCTGTTGGAGGAAAAGCAGACAGCAGCGCAGCGGGAAGAAAAGAATTAAAGGAAACTTTAGAGCCCCCTCACACCCTGGGTGCCTGGATGTCACCCGAGTGAAGCTGATGATGTACTGTCACACAAAAGGCACAGTAGTGCCTGACAAGCGTAGTGTGGGACATTGCGTCCATCTGGAAGGCAAACCCTGCAGGAGTGGAGACCTCCGCCAGCTTCTGGGTCCCCCACTTTCAGGGACCAAGTTCCCTCACCCTCGTGCCCGGGTCCCCCATCCTCAAGCCTTGTCCCCCTCCAGGCCCGCCCCCGACTGACGACAGGCTGCAGCGACTCCAGGGGTGGCCATCGAGCTCAGCCAATGGGAGAGCGCGCGGGGGACAGGGTCAGGTGCCTGCGAGGCTGCGCAGGTGCAGCGTCTCCGAGACAGCGACGGCGTTGCGGCCTGGTCCTCGCTGAGACCGCGAGCCTGCAGAGGCAGGTAGGGGGGAGGCGCCCCGAACCCACCCGCGGTGGCCGGACCCGGGCGGGTGGGAGCCGGATCGTACCTGACTATGCGGCCCTGCGGGAAGGAGCCCATCACCGCCCCTACAGGCTCGGTCCGCGCCGCCCCAAGACCGGGTCACCCCGCAGGAGGCCGCGCAGAAAGCCCGAATCATAGCCTGGGTCCGCACCAGGCCCAGGCCTGGCCTCTGCGTTGTCAGTGCCAGAGGAAAGAAGAGGAATCCGCTGCCTCCGCGCCAGCTCCTACCTGCTGTGCCCCCAGCACCGCGGTGGCTCCTGTCCCCCCAACCCCCTCCTGGCAACCTCCTCTCCTCTCTGGCTTTGGTTTGCTTGGTTGTCTCCCCTTTACTATGGTTACCGGATGAATTGGCCGAAAGCAGGTGTTCACCTAGTTACTGTGTTACCCTTATGTTATGTGGGTGCTACCAGCTTCCCTTTCCTTAGGAAGCTGGAGAGAAAACTGGGGAGGAAGGCAGAGGGGGGAAGAAACCATCACCCCGCGCCAGAGACGCGAGCAGGTAGACCTGCAGTTCCCCTATTACAATTCTCCTTCCTGAAAAGGAAAAACCCGTATTGCCTGGGAAGAAATAGTTAAATTTACATTTTCAGCCATTGTCTTGAGGCTACTCTGTAAAATAATTTCAGCTTACATGATATCCAGCTATGGCGAATTTTATTTAAAAAGGTAAAAGAAGGATTGCCCTGGTTCATGTAGCTTACACAGTTTGTACAGGGAGGTGGAAGCAGGTAGGTCTCCTGCAGGCTCTGTGTCTGAGGCTTCATACTGCCTTAACTGGGGCTGGAGGCACAGCTCAGTGACAAGAGGACTGGTTCCGAATTCCAAGTCCTTTGTCCACACCCAAACTCCCAGCACCACAAATAAATAAATATGATTACAGTCTCATATTAGACATATTAGACACTCATATGTCTCATATTTGACACATTTAGAACAGTGTCAAAGGCTGAATTCAAAAGATCTCTCCGCACAAGGGATGACTCTATCTGATCTGAATTTTAGCATGCTTAAAAATACCTTCCTAAAAAAATACCTTCCTAAAAGATGGATGGAAAATGGGGAGAACAAGATAGCCTAGCTTGAAACGCAGCCTGGTGGGAACTGGCATATGATCTGTTTATCCACTCCACTTCTCCGCTAGCTTTTTGGAATAGAATAAACACTTTCTAGAAGCACATTCAGGTTAAAAACAACAACGTACATCCCAAGAAATTTCATCCTGGGAACTGGTTTTTCTGCACACACTGCTGATAAGATGAGCTGCTGATGAATTGGTAACATGAAGAACCTTGACATGCATTTCAGAATTATGTTTCTGTCTATGCTTCGAGTCTGTTTAGTTACAGAAGGTTGTGGTTTGATTACTGAAAAATGAACGCAGATTACGTCTCACAGCCATACCTGAAAGTCACACAGATTATTTTATCAGTTTCATCTATTTTCCTCTTACCAAAGACAATGACTTTGAAAATCAAAGTGTGTGTGTGTGTGTGTGTGTGTGTGTGTTTTTGAGGACTATTATTGGTTCTGCTAATTATGCTTTCTTATTGCTACATTTCTAGAGTCATTCAAGCCATAATGATGACTAGGTTCACTTGATTGTATAAAAATGTCTGATCAACGGTTGAAATGTTACACTGTATGTAATCTGAACCCTTGTCTGTAGATAATGTTGCATTTTAAAATGCTGCTGGAAGCTCACTGAAATAATTTTTTTTGAGAATTCTTTTTGAAGAATTTTTAGGGTTAAAATGTTTTTAGATGCAACTAAACTTGTTTTTCTTATCCACATAGGCCCAGTGCTCTTCTTTGGCACTGAATCCTGCCGTATAATTCTTCTAGACTTCAAGTTAGGATGCAACTGGGAAGACTAAGCACTATCACTCTAGGCTTGGTGAAAAGTATCCAAAATAAAAGTATTGTCATTAACTTCCTTTATGTTTATTCTACAGATTACTTTACACTGAGCTGATCAAGTACTTTGAAAATGATTTCCAAGCTTCTCTTGGTGTCTTTCACAATTGCTATCCTAACTCTTTCAACTGCATTCTCTCTCCGACCAGACCAGCAAAAAGTTCTACTAGTTTCCTTTGATGGATTCCGCTGGGATTACTTATATAAAGTTCCAACTCCCCACTTCCATGAGCTCATGAAACATGGTGTTCATGTGAAGCAGGTTACTAATGTTTTTATTACAAAGACCTACCCCAACCACTATACCATGGTCACTGGCCTCTTCGCGGAGAATCACGGGATTGTTGCAAATGACATGTTTGATCCTGTTCTGAATAAATCTTTCTCCCTGGACCACATGAATATTTATGATTCTGAGTTTTGGGAAGAAGCCACACCCATATGGATCACCAATCAGAAGGCAGGACATGCCAGTGGCTCAGCCATGTGGCCTGGGGCTGACGTAAAGATTCATGAGCATTTTCCAACCCACTACATGCCTTACAACGAGTCCATTTCATTTGAAGAAAGAGTTGCCAAAATCATAGAATGGTTCACATCAGAAGAGCCCATAAATCTTGGTCTTCTCTACTGGGAAGAGCCTGATGACATGGGCCACCAGCTGGGACCCGATAACCCGCTCATGGGGCCAGTCATTTCAGATATTGACCACAAGCTAGGATATCTCATACAGATGCTAAAGAAAGCAAAGCTGTGGAACGTGGTCAACCTAATTGTCACGAGCGACCATGGAATGACCCAGTGTTCTAAGGAAAGGGTGATAGAGCTTGATCAGTATCTGGATAGAGACCACTACACCCTGATTGACCAATCTCCAGTCGCTGCCATCTTACCTAAAGAAGGTGAGTGCAACCTGACTCAAAGCTGAGTTTGGATCCATCTGTCCCCGGGTGTGAGCAGAGACTCTCCGTATCTGTGTCATTACAGTATGCCTGCCCTTATCATGGTAATGCTCTAGGACCCATCATTAGGCTCCAAGGAAGCAAAATCTCAGGGTCTTGTTTTTCCTAGAATAGTAACATTTATGCAGTGTATATTTTATGGTGACAGTTGTTAACTATTTTGGAATCATAGATTATGATAAGAGCTGCAACCTCGCTTTCTGAGAAAAACTGAGATGGAAAGATACACAAAGTTTGGGTACAATTCAGTGATTTCATGAGGCCCCTCTAGTCTGCTGCAGACCCTTGATGAGGACCTGCTTAATAGGAGGCAGTGGAGTATAAGAAAGAGCTTTTGTCAATGTGCATTTTCCTTATTTATTAGTAGAGAAAGTAGTAGCCTCTGCAATAGCTCCATGTTAAAGACAGGTAAAGGTTTAACACCCCAAGGTCACAAAATCAGGGGCAGAACATGACTCAGGCCCAGCCCCTGACCTACATGGTATCTCCTCTATAGGGCTGGTCTTAGGTATGAAAGGAGGGTACAGATTTTGAAAAGCTGGACTACCTCACAAATGAGAATCCTGTGCCTCTAGGCCAGGAAGAGAATCTTAAGCCATGGCTGGCACGGCTGGAGGGTGCACCCACATGCACGTAGCAGCAGCTTGTGAGTACTTAAGGGTCATCTTGGTCCCTAGGCTGCCCTTGCTCACGCCAATGGTATTCCCTTCCTGGGTTGCAGAAGCAGGGGCAGAGACCTGAGGATGCAGCTAAAAAACAGACTGAAGCCCATGCCTGGGGTGGTGCATGTAGACCCAGAGGCCTCCGCATGTCGCAGGCATGGGCCCTGGCTGGTTCACAGCCACCTCCTCCCCAGCCCCCTCTTCTCCAGCGTCCTCTCATCTGGAGATTCTGTCCCTGGCCTGGAGCACAACGATAAGATCCTAGCTCTTCTTTTACAACTGAGTTGCAATATTCTAGGCATTTCTCTTAGCGTCACCAATACTGGTGTGTGTGTGTGTGTGTGTGTGTGTGTGTGTGTGTGTGTGCCTGTGCACATAGAAAGTTTTAGAGACTACAGCTTTCTGGTTCTACAAACAGTCCCCTCTTAATTCTGCTCAGTGAATTTACTTAGGGCAGGAGCAATCGTTTCATTTTCCTGTAGGATTCTTCACTTCCAGGTGCAGAGTTCTCCCAGGTCCACTCCCCTCCCTCCAGGGAACCCAAGGCTGCAGTCTGCTGGGTATAGCAAGGAGGGCCTCATTCCAAGCGCCTCTCTACCCTCTCTTTAGGTAAACTCGATGAAGTCTATGAAGCACTGGCTGATGCTCACCCTAACCTTACTGTTTACAAAAAAGAGGAGGTTCCGGAGAGATGGCATTACAAGTACAACAAGCGGATCCAGCCGGTTGTGGCGGTGGCCGACGAAGGGTGGTATATTTTACAGAATAAGTCAGATGAATTTCTGTGTGAGTATGTTATCGTATTCCTTCCCATTCTACATCGTTTTTTGCTAACCTGGAGGCTGTGGATAATACAGCAGTTTACCTGCTGATGTTCTTGCCTCCACTACTCCAATGTTGAAGGAACCGTGTGTGTCTATACTTATCTTTAGAAATGTTTGCTTGTAGGCAGTGGTTCTTGATGTGTACATATGAAATGTACGGGGGCTGGGATGGATCTCCGGGCTCTACCTGCCTTGCATGCATGAGGCCCTGGCTTGGCTCCCCAGCACTGAAAACAGATATGTACAAAAAATGTCCCTGTAGATAGCCCTGGGCTCCTGTCCTATCGTGCTTATTAACTAAAACGAAAGTAAGTGCATGACAATGCTACTTGTAGTGTACCTGTGATGCAAAATAGCAGATGTATACAGATGTGTGACTTCCGGTTCTGACAGTTTGTACCTACAGACAATGACCTACAGCAAGCCGCTATTTAACCATGTCAGGGAAATTGTTCTAAGACCTTCAAAAATAACGTGCTTTCCAGAATAATTTTCACCCTGGTGTGTTCTCCTCATGAACTGTGCTGGTTGCTCTTATGTCAGTGGGGTGGCTGTAGGGAGATTCACGGTAGAGTTATGAATTTCAAGATCTCTAGAAATTTCGGTTTTATGAGTTAGATTTACAGGGTACACAGCACCCTGGCAAGTAATTAGTACGGAGTGGTCACCTTTATTTTTGAAAGCAAACCTCAACAGGGTTCCTGTTTCTATTTTGCTCATTTACTCAAAAAAGAATTAAATACGGGCTGCTGCAGTCCTCAGTCAGGGTTCCACAAGATTATGAAGCCCCCCAAAAAAACAAAACCAGCAAGGTGTGCTCCCCAGCCAGCATATCTGAATCACCTGGGAATGTGTCCGAAACTCCTCCTACTCTTGGGCCAACCCAGCCCTGCAGAGTTAAGAGACTGTGAGAGGTGGGCCCACCATCGGCATTCTCCACACCCGCAAGGCATGCTACATACAGTGAAGTCTGAGAACCACTTCCTGGGACATTGATCACCAGATGCTATCTCCTGAATGAGGCACACTAGCAGGGGCTACCACTGTAAAACCAAGTTCCTGAGAAAGCAGAAAACTCTTATAGAGGTCATAGTGATTTTATTTTAAATCTGACTCTCTAACAAGTACAACGAGAGTCTTTACCTTCATGACTAAGAGCCTAGGTCCAGCATCTCGCAGAAAGATAACAATAAGTCAGTGAACTGCAAGTGATTTACTGGTATATTTCTCAATATTAGCGATTACATTAACATAGTACTGTCAGGTAATTACCATTGAGTCATAAGCCCATAGTTATTTTTTGCTGGAGTAGACTCAAAAGAATTACGGCATTTAGAGAGACTTCCTGAGATGGGTTAGCTAAGCAGATTTCAAGTTTCTAGAGAAAGTGACTTAGGATGTTCTTTTTCTGTATTTGTATCCCATGCTGTACCCCCCGCAGCAAGCATAAACATTAGAGCTGATTCACTTGTGGTCCCCTCAACACCTTTGAAATGAAGTGTCTCTTCCTAGCCGTTGCCTCAGCAAGCTGGCACTCACACTTGTGCAAGGTAGCTTCTCTTGGGCAATTTCCATCCCTCAGTTTTGTGTCACCTGATCCTGACCTCAGAATACCCCTCCAGGCTTTATTGCATCCATCCTCAAACTCACAGTGCTAAGCTGGACCTGCATCAGAGTCATCCCAGTCGTGTTTTTCCATTCTACCTAAAAGTCCCCAAACTTCGCCTTTCAGTGGTAGACTATAGCTATGACTAAAGGTCTGAGTTTTGTGATGTCTTTTTTCTTTATGTATTGTTTTTTGCCTTTTTAGTGGTAGTTGTGTTTATTATTTTCATGATTAAGAACGCCATTATCTTTAGAAAAATAACTGGACACTGTGGCTATCCAGTAAGTACTGGCCGAATGTTAGTTTGCCAGCCACCAAACTAACAAAATAACAAGAGCAGGATAATTCACTCTCATGTGCCCTAACATGACTCAGCTTTGCTCTCTGCCCTTCATGTTTCATTGGGGAAGAGCTGGTCTGTGGGGAAGGTTTATGACCTTCAACCTTCATTTCCTGAATGGCAGGGCTGACAAGAGCAGAGACTGTAAAAGATTATTTTCAAAATCCAATTAAGATCCAATTTGCACTGTAGTTCAGAACTTCCCCATACAACAGTTAATTTCCACTGCGACACCCTCTGGGTGGCTAACGTATTCGTGCATTTTCTCTTCACAGTAGGCAACCATGGTTATGATAATGCATTAGCAGAAATGCATCCAATATTTTTAGCCCACGGTCCTGCCTTCCGAAAGAATTTCACAAAAGAAGCCATGAACTCCACAGATCTGTACCCCCTGCTGTGCCACCTCCTCAGTCTCACCGCCCTGCCACACAATGGATCCCTCAGCAATGTCCAGGACCTGCTCAGTTCTGCAACTCCAAAGGCAATTCCTTACACACAGAGCACGACCCTCCTCCCGGGGGGCGACCACCTAGGAGAGCTTGGGCAAGAGGAGTCCTACCCTTACTTCCTCGGGATCTCTCTTGGCTGCATCATAGTGATTGTATTTTTTGTAATTTTCCTTAAGCATTTAATTCACAGTCAACTACCTGCCTTACACGATATGCAGGCTGAAATTGCTCAACCATTACTACAAGCTTAATGCTTCTCTTGAGATGGAATTGCACATTGGAGATTGCACGATTGTGTCAATGTTGACGTTTCAAATTCTAAAAAAAGGACAGTTTCAGACATCTGCAGAGAGGTTAGTACATACCATATCTCAGTACACACACACACAAACACACACACCCCAAAACACTTATCCCTGCAGAGCATGAGAGTATTTTCCCATATTCTCTCTCCCTTAGGGATAGACAAATCCCCGCTTCCTTTGAACTTGACACATACATGTACATATTTAGCAACTTTGCACTAAGTACCTTACGCATCGCACTTTAAATTACTCTTGAGTAAGTACTTTTTTGAAATGCACTTTACAAATAGTTCTGTCATAACTTGGGTGGATAATACACATACTCGTATTTCACAGAATTTCTAATCATTCCTGGAGAATGTGAGAATCCAGCTTCTTAACTTGGTAGGCAAGAAGAAAGTGAAATAGTTGAAATCAGTGAGCTCAACTTTGTCCCCGGGGTTTGGAGGGACACATCCCCAGCAGCAGGCTGCATCTGTGGGTGTTTGTCATAGTTCTTTCCAAAGGATATAGGACTTCCTTTGTTTTTCCTGCAAAGAGACTTAAATACCGACAGATTTACCATCAATATTATTCCTGTTATCAAATCAAATGTATTATTGCTGTTCTCTGTTGATTCCTGTACTCTGATTTCCACAATAGCGAAGACTCCATGATCAGAGGTTTCTTTTCCATGTAGCCCAGCAGTGGCCTGAGGAGCAGAGGTCAGGCACCATCTCCGCAGTGTTTTCTATTGTCTGTAATTATTTGCTTCTTTTAAATCTCTATTAATCGCATTAAAAATCATATGAGATAAAACAGTGTTTGGGGTTTGCTTTTCTGGTAGAATACAAAAATCTTTTAGATGAGGGGCTTTGAAGATCCAGAGTTGTAGAAGAGCACAGACCCTTTCAGGTAAAATACAGGCTACTCCACCCTTGCACACTTCTGTGCAGAGTCTGGGAAGGGAAGCAGGACCACATCTGAGACATCACACTGTGTTCCACATGGTGGCAGAGGGTTCCGAGTGACAAAGCTCAAGACATAAGTCTCATGGTAACAGGTGTTAAAACACACAGCCACCGAGATTATTGAGCCCTGTTTCAAGAAATGTTTGAGTCCCCACCTGCCAGGTGCTTATTGCAATCACAGATGAAGGCACTGTTATGAAGACTCCTAGGTAGTAGTTTCCACCTTCCTGGCTACCTCAGCCTCTGCAGTAACCCTAACAGCATAAATCTGGGCTTTAGGACACTAGGCAAGCAGCTGGGAAGGAGCAGAGGGCTGCATGTGGTTTCTCAGAGGAAGAAGGAAGCCCTGAGGGGGAAAACCATTTTCTGGGGAAAAAAAAAAAAAAAAAAAGGAAAGCAAGGCAGACACATGAGCCACCAATCCTACCTCAGTCTTCCGCACATTTCTGTGTCTGTGAGCTAATAAAATGAGAAAATGGCAGAACTCTTTCAGGAAGAAAGAAGACATTAGACGGCAAGGACCAAAGTGCCGTGGCTAGCAATATAACTGAATCTAAATGCTTTCTAAAATGAGGTGAATTATTTTTATTCTACTTATTTACTTGACATTCTATGTAGTGAGTTATTTTTAAATGATGCCAGTGAAGGTTTGCACCTAATTTTTATGTCATTAAAAAGCTCCTAGTAAAATGGAATAACTGGAAATGGCTTGTAGCATTTTTTTTTTTTAAAGGGGAAGAAGTTACCCAGAAGGAAGGAAGCTCCCCAGAACTCTGGACTCTGATTATTAGACTTCTCAGAATGGAAGCGTCGGGGGGCTGGGGAGATGGCTCCGTGGAATAAGCGCTTCCTTGGCAAGCGCAAGGGCCTGAGTTCAATCCCTAGTTTCGCAAAAAAAAAAAAAAAAAACAAAACAAAACCAAAGGAGTGTCATTCTGAAGACTGATGCCTGTTAATGAGGTGTCAGTACAGGGACCAGAGGACACAATCAGTCTATCTTAAATCATTACCATCCAAATGCTGTCTGAACATGTAATTTGTCGCATTAAATTCATTTCCAAATGTGCATGTTATTCGTTCAGCAAGAAAGTATATTCTGTAACAATGACAGCATTCAAATTCTCGAAGGAAGGCTGGATTCTTGAACATCTCGTTTTATTTATCTTTCTATAAAAAAAGTGGCAGGAGAGAACTGAGGGAAAAGAAAATGGTAAAAACATGTTTGGAAAAATTGTATCATTCATAACGCTTGGATAGCTTTTTCATTGTCTGGCTTGCATGTGTCTGTTCGTGGTCAGACTTGGTGCGCAGTGACCACAAATTCGCTCACGGCAGTAAAGCTTAGACGAGCGGATCTTACTACTGTAAATAAGAATTCTGAAAGCCAAAGAAATAGCTGCCCTTCTTTCCCCTTTTCCAAGTTTTGCTCAACATCTTCCCTTAGCCATCCTATACAATTTATTAAAAGACGGTCCAAATTCAGTCATTTCCTGATTTCTTCTGCTGCCACCTGCCATTCACGTTTAAATTGCTTTTCAAATGTTTTCTGATTCTGTAAAGCTAGCATTATCATTAGTCTTAGTTTCTTACAATAAAAAACCCTGCTCTTTCTAGAGAATCTAATGAAGGACCTGGTTTTTCTAGTTCTTCCATTTTTTGTCCAGCACTACACAAATGGGAACAAATTTAATAAGCAGAGGAGGGTAACATCTAAGGGGTCTTTCAACCTTCGGAAGGAATAAAAGCACCTGCAGAGTTATGGCAGGGTTGGCAGGCATTCCTGCCCGGGGTGGAAAAGGGACCCAGCTTACCTCACTCAGTTCGTACCAAATCAAACCTGGTCGACTGCTTGGCCACCTGCCCGTTCACTCCAGGTGGCCGCCTTTGGGATTCTACCTGAAGCAGGAGTTTGCTGCCCAAGACCCCTGCCTTTAGCAGGCTCAGGTCTGCACTTCTGACCTTAGGCTGTGTGCGAGTCATTGTTGCCCTCCAGAGAGGCCAGTGCTGCAGGACGGAGCGGATCCTCCAGGCTTGTGCTCGCTGCACCTCGGCCTCGCTGTTCCTCATGTTATTAAAAATATACTTTAAAATGCATCTTGAGGGCTCAGTGAGATAGCTCAGCGGGCTAAAGCACATGCTTAGGCAAGCGTAGGCAAGTGCAGAGACCACGGTTCGACCCCCAGCAACACATGCCGAGCCAGTCCCACCCCCAGGGCGTGCTGAGCCAGTCACAGAGTCTGGGTATAGCGGGGCATGCTTGTAACCTCAGTGCTGGGTAGGCTGAAAACAGGAGGATCACTATGGGTCTGAGCTGCATAGTGAGACCCTGTAACAACCAAATGCACTAAAAAATAAATTAATTAATAATAAAATGCATCCTAACATCTGGAATGAAAAGGATTAAAATAACTCAAGAAGGTAAAAGGACAGAAACAAAGGAATGAGAAACAGGGGCACACCAAGAAAGCATATAATAAAATGGCAGAATTAGCTAACATATTAATAATTACCTTAAATTCAATATAAATACATCAATCAAAAGACAGATTGGCAGATGGACCAAAAAAATTGGTTTTTTTTTTTGACTGCATATGGCTGAGAAGACATGCTTCTCAAATTTTAAACATCAGAAGTTTGGAAGCAAAAGGATTAAGAAAAAAAACATTATACAAGCATTACTTTTTGAAAACGGCCACATTAGCTTCTGGTAGAGTAGACGTCAAAGAAAATTACTGAGACATTATATAATGCTGAAAGGAATAATGGAACAAAAATTCCTTTTATCATTATGAAATGTAACACAAAAGAGACATTATATAATGATAAAAGGAATAATGGAATATTTTTAAATGTGTTATATGTCATCATGACATATAACACATTCATGTACTATAATAGAAAACAATGTACTATGATTTTCATTCTGGTGGAAGACATCACAGTCCTAAATGGTATATATCCAAAATAGCAGAACCTCAAAACACATGGAGAAAAAAAATAATAATAGGATTGAAATTTTAAAAATGCAAATCACAATTACAGTTGAGCTTATCAAACTCCCCTCTCAACAACTGCTAGAATTTCAATATAGAATGCATAAGAATTTGGCAGATTTCTAGAACAAACAAGACCTAGTTAATTACATATATAAAACACCAGACAAAAGCATGATCACAGTAACACTCAAAGGATACATATCTTTCTCAAGCATTCTTAGAATATTCACAGGACTGAACACCCTGGGCCATTAAAAAGAAACCTTCAGGGCTGGCCTGATAGCTCAGCAGACTAAAGTGCCTGCTTAGGCAGAGCACAGGGACCAGGGTTGGATCCCAGAATATTGTGTGGGCCCCGCCCCCGGGGCACACTGAGACTCCAATTGAGACTCTGCGTGGTGGTGCACACCTGTAATCCCAACACTTGGGAGGTTGAAACCAGGAGAATCACTATGAGTCCAATCTACGTAGTAAGACCATGTACTTAAATACATTAAAAAAAGGCAAAAAAAAACTTCAACAAAATTAAAAGAATTCAAACCAAGTTCTCCGACTGTAGTGAAATTAACTTAAAAATCAGTAACAGAAAGATAGCAGGAAAAGTTTTTGAATACCTGGAAATTAAGTAATATATTTCTATATAATCATGGATCAAAGAGTCTCAAAAGGAAGCCTGAGAGTATACAGGAGTTAATGAAAACAAACACAAAATACAGATGAAGCTAAAGCACCATGGAAAGGGAAGTTTGGAACAGCAGAGGGGGAGAGGCCTCAGATCAGCCACCTTAGGGCTTACCTCAAGGACCTGGAAAAAGAAGAACAGATAGACCGATGAGGCAGAAGGAAACCAGAGAAACATAAAGAGCAAAATAAAGGGTTGATGGTGGAAGTCGGGAAGTGAACATTTCTCAAAGAGAAAGGGGATTGAGGGGTGAGGAGAGAGGGGACAAAAAGAAGGAAGGTGTTGAAGGAGAATCTCAGATGTGTGATGTACATGACCGACTCCACTCAAGGAATGTATCCATTATATGCTACACACATGTATCAATAAACTAAATTTAAAAAATTAGCATGTGATGAAAAGAAGACAATAAAAATACTGGGAGACAAAGGGGGATAATCACTGCATGTTTCAATAAAATCACTACATGTACTTGCATGAAAGGGCTAAGGATGTAGCTCAGTACAAAGGCTCTAGGTTCAATTCCCAGTGGCATGTGTACATCCACACACATACACACACACACACACACACACACACACACACACACACACACAGATACACATAAATACAAAACAAAACAAAAAACCAAATGTGTCCCAGCATCTCTACGAGTGGGCATTTGTATCCCAAAGAAGTGAAAACTTGTGTTCCCAAGACAACCCGAGCACACACGTTCACTGTGGCTCTGTGTGGAGACACTGAGCACTGGGGAATCAGATCCCTCCACTCAGTTGGATGGTTTCACGAGCTGTGTTATAAGCACCCCAAGGAAAATGAACAGTGAAGAAGAGCAGCTTACAATCTGCATACAAACACAGGTGACTCCTAGGGAATTACGCCACAAGGAAAAACCAACACAGAAAAAGTGACACACTGTAAAATCTCACATAACATTTCTGAGATGACAACACTTTAGAAACAAGGGGAGATTATAAACAAGCAACAACACAAAGAATTCTTCCAGCATTGGAAGTATTTAAAATATCAGCTCTGGGCTGGGGAGGTGGCTCGGTGGCATAAGCGCTTGCCTGGTTCCATCTCTGTACCACATACCATGTCTGCCCCAGACATGCCCTGCAGCCCCAGAACAGGGCGGGGTGGCCCACACCTGAAATCCCAGCACTAGGGAGGCGGAAACAGGATC